GGCGCCCTCAGGCAGATGCCTGATTTGCCTATATGGTAGCGCCGGCGCTGGATCCAGCAGAGATACGTCCCCGTCCGTCGCTTCTCCTCGGTGACGGCAGCTGTACGGGCTCCGGTAACGGATTGTTTTGTGTCATTTTGCAGATCCTCCAGACTGGGCAAGAGATCATGGAGCTGGACACGAGTGGATTCGCCACGCAGGGCCCCACGGTGTACGCCGGGAATATCGGAGACAATAAGTACATAGTACAAGTGTCCCCCCTGGGGATTCGCCTGCTGGAGGGAGGTGAGTGCCCGGGTCTGCCCGGCGACGGAACCAAACACGTCCTGTATCCAGCATGGGATGCCCCCTGCGTGCGCTCTTATGGCTTTCACACAGCGTAACCGGCTTTAAACGGCCGGACGATGCGTTGGGTGCGCCTACATGCAAAAACAACGATTTGCTCCAATTATGCTGCATGTGAATGTCGCAGTGAGAGCAATAATTCTCGGCCCATCAATCACTGATAACACTAAACTGATGAGCGGTAAAATCTTTTAAAGCGTCGCCTATGGCCAATTTTGGCTATGGTGTTTTTTTGCGATTTTTGCGGGCGCTCGCAATTTTTAGGCTTGACATGTTTGGTGTCTATTCACCCGACGTGACCCCGTCTTTTATATTTTACCAAAAAAATTGGGTAAAAATAAATGTTTCCTAAAACAATAAAGGGAAAACCATGCTTTATTTTAAAATATTCTGTACTTTTTTTGTTATATAGTAAAAAATAACCACCCCCCCCAGTGGTGATTAAATACCACCAAAAGAAAGCTCTGTCCCCCCAAAAAATGGTATAAAAGTCATGTCAGTGCAGCGTTGCGTGACGGAATAAATGTCAGTCAAAGTACCGCAGCGCTGAACAATGGCGGCCGCAGGAAGGGGGCGTAACACCGCGGTCAGCTATGGCCTCCCATGATAAGAAATGATGTGCTGCGCTGCTTAGTGTTCCGTCCCTCGTTCCCCCGGCAATATATCGCGCCTATGTGGTGATCCCGCCTGTTTTGTGTCCCAGTGACTCAGCTGCACTTCATCCCCGTGGATCTGGGCTCTCCCATCGTCCACTGCGCCGTGGCGGACCCCTACGTGGTGATTCTGAGCTCGGAAGGTCAGGTGACCATGTTCCAGCTGAAAAGTGACTCCTATGGCGGCAAATCTCATCGGCTCGCTCCGCAGAAACCCAACATACATTACGTGAGCGGTGTTCCTTATCATTTATTATCATGCAGGATTTATATGGCGCCAACAGTGTGCGCAGCGCTGTACAATGTAAGGAAGACATCACAAGACAAGGTGGTGAGGAGGGCCCCGCCCCTGAGGGCTTACATTCCAAAAGCGGAGGGGCCAGTGATACATGAGGAGGGAGCTGTGTGGGGATGAATAGTTGAGGTGGGATCGGCTTCCCTGAAGAGATGAGTCTTAAGGGATCGCGTAAAGGCAGTCAGAGTGGGAGATAGACGGACAGGTTGGGGTAAAGTGTTCCAGAGGATGGGAGAGACTCTAGTGAAGTCCTGGAGGCGACCATGGGAGGAGATTACAATAACAGGCCTGGGCCTGTATTACCGGCTGCTGGTGGAGGGCCTGTGGTAATGGGCTCCCTACCGCAGCTGCCCTGTACTGTCCTAGTGTACGAGATCCCCCTTGTGTCTGTCGTTTGTCCAGCAATCGAAGGTGATCGCTCTCTGCATTTACCGCGACGTCAGCGGCATGTTCACCACGGCGACCAGATCGGCCCCGGTGAAGGAGGACAGCGTCCCCCCGAGCGCTGCTGAAGGAGACAGTCTGTTGCAGGAGATCAGGTGAGGTGCGGGCTCTTGGAGCGCGGTGACTACAGGAAGTGTGCCGCCAGTCTAATGAGGATTGATCTTGTGTACGTTGTCAGCCGCTCTGTAGATGATGAGGACGAGATGCTGTACGGAGATTCCGGGTTCCCGTCCAGCCCCAGCAAGGAAGAGGCTCGCCGGAGCAATCTTCCCCACGCCGATCGTGACTCCGGCCAGTATAAGATTGAGCCCACTCACTGGTGTGTGCTGGTCAGAGAGAATGGTATCATGGAGGTGAGTTCTGGAATGACCCGTGATGTATATGGGAGTACAGTGCGGGCCCCTGGCTCCGGGAGGTTTCCATTCAATCCCCAATGTATCTTTCTCCTGCGGTGCTCAGATTGGAGGCAACAATATCCTGAGCTGTCCTCTCTGAACCCAAATTTCTCTCCTTTAGATCTACCAGATCCCGGAGTGGCGTCTAGTCTTCCTTGTGAAGAATTTCCCCGTGGGGCAGAGAGTTCTTGTGGACAGTTCCTTTGGTCATCCCAGTGCTCAAGGAGAAAGCAGGAAAGAGGAAGTGACCCGGCAGGGCGAGATGCCCCTGGTGAAGGAGGTTCTGCTGGTGGGGCTGGGAAATCGGCAAAGTCGCCCTTATTTGCTGGTAAGATGGTCACCTGATGCAGAGTATTCGCTGTCTGTCTGATGGTCTTCACTATTGCCTTTCAGGGTGCATTCCCCTCGCCAAAGAATGGTATGGTCCACATTCACATATTACTTGACTCTGCAGTGTTGTGGACCATTTCCCTATATTCATATATAACATGACTTCCCTCTGCAGTGGTATGGTCCATCTCCTTGTATTTATATATATATATAACATGACTTCCCTCTGCAGTGGTATGGTCCATCTCCTTGTATTTATAAATATATATAACTCGACTTGCATCGGCAGTGGTCAT